GACTCATGATGAGTTCTTCATGGAGACTCACATCCGGAAGAAGAAGGCATAGACAGATCCAACAAGATGGGTTGAGGACCGGGCGGAGACTGCATATGTATGTTTCATAACTACTATAACATAAAATTAATATTTATAATATTATATAATTAATAATTTTCTATCTTCTAAATAAAGGGTTGCTACAAAATTAATGTGGAGGAGTACACTCAGAGCTTGCCACCGAATGAGCAAGGCGAGCGACCACCTATTTCAGACGAAGAAGCGCAGAGGATATGATTGGATGTTGTCGGTGGTCCTAAAAGAAGGATAGCATACGGCCTTCCAGAGAGATCATTTCGGCGCTATAGGGTTGGATTGCAAGGTATAGGGACTTCTACCTAAGGTGAGGCAATTGATAGGTCGACTCTCTCGTCTATGGAGAAGAAGATCGCAAAGCTGGCAGCAGATTTTGAAGAGACAAAGGCTAGAGAGCAAAAGAGAGATGAACAATTTGATACCCTTCAAGTTCAGCTAGAAAAGAGGGACCAACAATTTAATCTCCTTCAAGGTCAGTTGGCCAATTTTCTTGCTAGTGGTGCTTTCCCCATTCTCCGGTCTCGTGAGCCTTTCCCAGATGCTAATACTTCTCGTCGTGATCCTTCGAACCATGCCGAAGATGAAGCTTCTAGTAGTGAAGATGGAGATGATGCAATACAAAACACTCATTGAATGGTGTGTATTGCTAAACAAAGTCTTGAACGTGTGAATATTTAGTTGGGAATAGTTTTGAATGATGATTGTATTGTTGATATTATTTTGTTATTGAATATTTGTATAGTTGTTGTTGTGGTTGGCGTTGTTGTTATTAGCATTGTGGTTGTGGTTGTTATTAGCATTGTTGTTGATTAATTGTTGTTGTTGGTGGTGGTGGTGGTGGTTAATTATTGTTGTTATTGTTGGTTAATTGTTGTTGTTGTTGGTTAATTATGGTTGAATGGCAGCAATGTAATGCTGCCATTATAGGATGGATATTGGTTGTAATTGGCAAGTGGTGTAGCTTAAAAGCAGGCATATTTTGTCCGATTTCTACTTAGAAAACCGACCGAAGTCGGTCGGAAATCTCTTTTGTTTTCCAGAAATTAGTTCGGTCGGAAATTTCAAATGAATTCTGCAGAATCTTGAAATTTCCGACTGCATTCGGTCGGAAATGTCTTTTTAAATTTATTTATTTTTTTAGTATACCGACCGATTTCGGTCGGTTTATTACAATTTATAAATAATTATAAAATATAATATATTTAAAATTCCGACCGATGTCGGTCGTTATTTGAAAAATAAAAAATAAAAATTTAATTAATACCGACCGATTTCGGTCTGTATATTTACCTCTGTTGTCAGTCAATGCGTTGAAATAACCGACCGTTTTCGGTCGAAAAATTTCAACCGATTTCGGTCGCAACACCTTAACGACCATTATTTTTTTAACTAATTAAAATCGGTCAGAAATTGGTCGCTTTTTTCTCAAATTCCGACTGATATCGGTCGGTTTTCTTGGACGAAATTAGGCAGTTTTCCAGTAGTGAATGGTTTAAATAAAAGAATTATTAACATGCTTTATACTATGTGCCTCTTAAGGGAGAACTCGTTATCTCACTCGGTGCCTTATTATTCTAAATGGTTATCGCACTTTTACTATAATTGGGTTCTCAAATGATATTTATCACCCTGTTAGTTGTTTACCTTACTTAAAATTGTTATCGTATTTTTTCTTAGTAAATTCTATATTTAATTCGTTAATTTAACTTATATTTTGCTTTGTTTAAAAATGATACTTTTTCTCAATTTTATTGATTTCTAAACTAAACCCATCTTATACTCTGTTTCATACAAATTGTATATTATTTTACTTTAATTGATTTCTAAAATAAACTCATTATTTCATTTGACACCTTACTTTATTCAAGATTGTTATTATGTGTTATGGTGTTTAAATATATCTTTCGTTCATCTAAATTAATATTTATCACGATTGCAAAAATGATTGTTATTGTGGGCACGAGGTGCCATATGTATAAGATTTAGAAATTGTGGTCCATCACTTGTGGTTTATGAGGTGTGGTGCCTCGGGATAATTTTTGTTGTAAGTCCATGCGTTGGGAGCGATTTTATTATTTGAGTTGTCATCCGTTTTTCCTAATTTGGGTTCATTTACATCTCATCTGTGTTCTTATTATGATGTTTCTTTATTAATCGTTTACTACTTGCTGCCATTTATGTTCCAATTACTTCATTGTTGGTTGTAAATCAATATATTTTCTATCGTTGGTCTTATATTGATGTTCTTTCCATTGTTAGCTTATGTATATCTTGAACAGTTTTCTATGTCTAGTAGATGTCTTGACCTGGCCTCGTCACTACTCAACCGAGGTTAGGCTTGATACTTACTAGGTACCGTTGTGGTGTACTCATGCTACGCTTCTGCACATTTTTGTGCAGATCCAGATATTATGTATGTGTTGTTGAAGTTGCGTCTGCGCGGCGGGAGACTTCAAGGTATACCTGCTTGACGTTTGCAAGCCTCGAAGTCACTATCTTACTTCATTATGCTACTGTTAAATTGTAATATCAAAACAGTATTGTGTTTAGAAATTCTAGTGTGTTTTAGTAGTGCTTATGACTCAGTACTACCGGTTTTGAGAAATGTATACCTATTGGCCGCTTGCGGTTATGTATGTCATTTAATGGTTTATGATAAATGATTAAATAATTCAATTCTGTTATTAAATCAGCATGTGTTAGGCTTACCTAGTCTTAGAGTCTAAGTGTCATCACGATATCCTATGGTGGGAAATGGGGGGTCGTGACACTATCATAGTGTGATATTGTTTGCTTTGTGCTGAATTTACACCGCTTCTTTTAAAAAGTGTCACTCCATTAAAAGTATACCTATATCCTATATATTTTATTTATATCAACTTTCAATATAAAACTTTGTTAGCACACCCGACAAAATGATTCAATGAAATTTTTATTTTATTTTTCTTTTAAACAATGTGCTGCTGGAAGGATTACGTTATTTCGTACAAGTACCTAAAGTTTGAAAAAGTGCATAACCAGGTTTGTAGTTTTCAAAATTGGTGGACACAATAGGAGCTCAAATTCAATTTCGGCACAGAAGCATGAGAAAGAAGATATCCGACCGAACTATGTGTAGCAGAAATGGGTGAAAAACATTTAGGCCCATTAAGTTAGTTCTCCACCATTACCAAACATATTGTCTAGTCATATTGAAAGAGAGAAAAGGATTACATGTGAGCTGTGAGGCCTAATTTTTTGTATGTTCAAGTATGCAGACATGATCTTTTGTACCAAAGTGCTGATTCTGGCTTCTCAACTTGAAGTAATCTGTTTAATGCATCTATCACTATTGTGAGCACTTGACCGTAAACTAGACTGAGATGTGTGGTTCATAATTTTATACATCTTATTTTGGGGTTTGCCTGAGGTTATTAAGGCTTAGTTTCTTTTAAAAGAAACTGAGATAACTAAAAACTTAGTGCTGAATTGCACGTGTAGCTTTTATACACGATAAAAAAATAGATCTTAGAACCTAGCTCACCCCAGAAGTTAGCTCATGAGGCGAGGATATTATCTACTACTCCTTCCGTTCCAATTTATGTGAACCTGTTTGATTGAGCACGGAGTTTAAGAAAAAATAAGACTTTTAGAATTTGTGGTTCTAAACAAGTCAAAAAAAGGTCCAGAGTATTTATGTGGTTATAAACTTCTCATTAATAGTAGAATTGGAAGTTTAAGCTAAATTATTTCCAAATTTAAAAAGGGGTCATTCTTTTTAGAACCAACCAAAAAAGAAATAGGTTCACATAAACTGAAACGGAGGGAGTACAATATAAGATATCTTTATATCCCTACATAGCCGATTTATAGATAGCCGATGGAGGAGCTCAACATTATACACTGACAATATAATTTTTTTTTATTCTATCAGGTCAACTCAGAGATAATTGCATAAAATCATTTACGGTAAGTGTAGATTAGTTACCTAAAAGATAAAATAAGTGAACTTACAACGTGTTATCATGTACTGAGTATAAAAAATTTCCTTTTTGTTGTCAGTGTGTATAAATTAAATACTTCAATGATCACTTTTGTTAAGGTCGGGAATATTGAGCAGCTTCTTTGGATAGTGTTTGATTTTCGAACTCTGTTGACAAAGAGCAACGTTTCAATGATTGTTGTTTTGCCAATGGAAATATATATAATTTAAAATGGGTCAAATATCTTGGTTTTCTTAATCTTAGGAAAAAATGTCATGGTCTTGTCATGTAGCACAGTTAGTCTTACACATACACACTAGTTTTTATCTGCCATTGCCATAAAGTTTCTAAGCTAGTGGAAAGTATAACAATAAAATTAAAGAAGAAAGAAAGTTCCTTAAGCTAATGATCCTGCAAATTCCACTTCTTTTTTAATCGGAATTGTACCTAAATTAGTGCACATACGTAATATACCTGCAATGGTAGTGGAATGAATGTATAAGCTGTGGGCCAAATCCTAATTACCAGATGAGTTTATAGTCTGAGTGGAAAAGATTTTTCACATTATCAGTTCATCTGGATCGTAATTACAGGTCCATGCAAAGTGAGACCAGTAACACTAAAATATGTCAATATTGTAAACAAAAAAAAAGTTGGATTACCAGTTTTATATTTTCGAGCAGGCTGCCTATCACTTCTAAGAGCCACATTCATTTAGTCCAAATAAAAGCAAGCTTATCATGTTGCTCTATAGGAAATCAGTCACTATTACATTCCTAGTTATGGAAACACAGCTAATTAATGATTTATGTTAAGTTTAATTTAAAAAATTATAGAGCGGTCAATCCTTTTTAAGCAAAGCAAATTTGATACGTAATTGGAAGTTGAGCAATCAATTCAGCCCGATTATTCTAGATTTTACCTTAGGAGAGAGACCCCAACTGACACGAATAAATATATACAAATATTCATTGAAGAGACAAAAGAAATGAGTAATGAATGCGTCAACGTTTACTTGCTACAGTAAGCCACGACCCAAAGCAAAAAAGAAGCTTGTACTAATACTAAGCTTGCTATATAAATATGCCTTCTAGGGTTAGGGTTTTCCAATGGAAAAATATTACGACATACTGTAGCTAGCTGAGAATTTTCTGCCATACATCTGCCATCTCTCTTTTCAAACTAAAGAGATGACAAAACGTCAAGTGATTTTGATGAAGGATGACTTTTCAGACGACGATTCAACAAATTCATCATTTACTATTAGGACAGTGAGATATAGAGAGTGCCAAAAAAATCATGCAGCAAGTGTTGGCGGATACGCGGTTGACGGGTGTCGGGAGTTCATGCCATGTGGCGAGGAAGAAACTCCCGGCGGCCTTACTTGCGCAGCCTGTGGCTGCCACCGTAATTTTCATCGACGGGAAGTGGAAACTGAAGTTGCTTGTGACTGTTCCTTCCCGACTTAAAAAAGTAAGTTTAACTTCTTTGCACTGACAATGTGCTGGTATATGTTTGGAACATGTAAGATGCCCTTGGGGATGTTTTTATAGGAGTGAGCTTGTTTAGGAACCAAGGGAAGGCTTTTTTTTTTTTTGTTTTTTTTTTTGATGTTTCATTTTAGTCGTGTTTATATAAGTGAAAGTGAGAATGTTTGTAATGATTTGCATGGTTGATTGTTAAGAGTGAACGATATTGTATGATAATTACATGTTTGGGGAGAAAAGATGTGGTGCTCTTTGACAAGACATTATATGGTCTCATTTTTCAAGTTTTGTGCAAGGACTTTTTAGGCTTATATGTTGTTGCTTGCTATCGTTAGTTTCAAATTTTTTACCTAATAGTGTAAAAACTAATGTATTATGCATAAGGAGTTCGTGAAGTATTGCATAACAAGCACTTTTTTTTTTTAACTAGCAGTTTGCTCCAAGCTAAAGAAATCAGTTAGAGAAGCGATGTTGCTGAAAAGGCCTGGGCTTATTGGTCAAGACAAGAAAGGACCGACATATACTTTTTTCACTTAACCATAGTTAAGTAGTGTATACTCACCTGAATTCATAATTTAACCGTGATAAAGTAATGCAGATTGGTTTAAACACTTACATGTTTGTTTTACTGAAATGATTTTAGCTGCACTTTTGTTTTAAACTTATAGGAGAAATAATCATCCAAAAAACATAAATCATCCTTATGTTCAAGATACATTTTACGTATAATTAACCTTAATGGTCTACGAAAAGAAAAACCTTATATATATTGGTATATGAGCTTCTATTTATGACATTTCGTTTCATTTCATTTCATGATAAATGACTTAATTAAGAAGCTTAGGTTCAGTACATGTCAAGGTTTTGGTCTGTCTTGTCCTTTCAGTTCTTTTGGTCAGTTAATATGTTGATTGCTAACTGAAGTGCTAGGGATGGAATACTGGAAAAAGTATCCCTTACTTTAGCTTAATCTTAGTTCTCCATTCAAAATTTCTATCATTAGTGTTGTGTAAGGCATTCTTCCATAAGTGAAATTTATTAAACAAGGAACATTCACTAACCTTTTATCATCCTTTGAATACTAACTATAGCATTTATCATATTATTTCATGGAACGCCAGTCTAAAGGGAATAAAAGAAGATTGCAAAAATTTGCCTAGTAAATTTCATAGGGGTCATCAGCACAAACTATGGCTGATAAAGCAATAGAAAACCTCTTGATTATATATAGATTGTGTTTTATCCCTAGGTCATCCGGTACTAATATGAATTAGTTGAGTCAATAGAGTCCTAGTGGATACAAATCTAAATTAATTGGGTCTATGGGTTCCCAATACCTAATAAAAGGTCATATGAGCTGGATAAGCACTAAAAGTGTGTTCTCTCAATGTTAGGTATTATGGGAGGGGAGCAAGCTTTAGGTAAGTGTTAATTCTAATCAGGTATGTGTCAAATCTGTAAATGAAACAGCCTCGCAGGTGCGTGTTTTTTGGATTTCCAGCACTTTCTTTCTGTGCCCAATTGACAGTATCTTCCAAAGCCTCAAAACCACTATGTGGTGACTATTAAAAAACCATGTTCTCCATTATCTGTATAGTAAATTATAGATATATATTTTCAGAAAAGAAGCATTTTGCTTATTTATCTTTTATATGGTCTCTTTACCCAACTATAACACCGATTGTTTCTGCTACATTATTGGCTGAGCTATCGTTAGAAATGGTGGTGAGTTTAATTATTTGATGATATTAACAGTGTTACAATCCAAAATCTCACCTTAAGGATCGCGATGACACCTAATCTCTAAAACTAGGTAAGTCGATCACTTATAACAGTTAAACCAATAAAACATGACATTAGGAAGTATAGTTTAATATAAATGCGGAAATAAAGGTGATAGAAGCCAACACGGGGATAATCACAACAAATCCCCAAGACTAGGTAGTACAGAGTCATGAGCTCTAACAGAATACATAGAAATATCTCTAAATACGATGCTCTTCGGGTAGAGAGTTAACAGTATATGCGTAAGGAAAGGACTCCAAGGGTCTACGACGAAAAAAGCAGCTCTACCTTGAATGCTTGTGATCAAAGAAACTCACACGGCCCGAGTCCACTATCTCCAACACCTGGATCTGTAAAAATAATTTGCAAAAGTATAGTATGAGTACACCACGGTCGGTACCCAATAAGTATCAAGACTAACCTTAGTGGAGTAGTGACGAAGTTAAAGTCAAGACACTCACTAATCAAATAACTTGTATAGAATATCAATATAAAGCTAACAACGGGAAGCAAAATAAATAGATGGCAACAAAGAGTAATCATATGATAAAACAGTAAAATAATCAAACACAAATAAAGTACATGTGAAAGCAATTACGGAAAAACAATGACAGTACTAATCATCAACTGTTCTGACACAAGATTTACAACATGAATCACCCTGAGGTACCACAACTCATAATCTCGAATCACAAGTCACAAGTCACGAATCATATTCCCATGGCACCTCGTACCCACATTGTTAATCACCTTCGCATGGCAAAGACCTTGTGCCACAACATAAGTCAAACTGACACAGCAAAGACCTCGTGCATCAACAAATATCACAACCGCACGTCAAAGATCTCGTGCCACCACATATATCGTATCCGTATCAATTACCAATAAAATGTTCAAATTTTGTTTATTAAAAATCAAATAAAGTAAAGTATGATAACAATTTCTTTATTAAAAATTTATAAAAAAAAATTAAATAAAGTAAAGCATGGTAACAATTTCTTTATTTAGAATTATGAAAAATCAAATAAAGTAAAACATGATAACAATTTTTTTATTTAGAATTTATCAAAAAAAATCCGTTATGTTACCAACTCAACAAAATAAGAGATAATAACTCCACGTAGGTAAATTCATCTTGACAACCAATTCATCAAGTAATAACGGAGACACAGATTATCACATTGAAATAATGCCGACAAATCACGTAAAATGCATGACACACACAAGAAGTCACAAATCGTTCCAACACAAAAATAACAACAAGAGTCACTCTGATGTGCCACATATCAATATCACAATCATCCTTATGTCATCGTGTGAGCTTCACATTTTTCAATTTTTTTTTGCCAAAATAGCTTCACGTGTTTTAGCTCACTTATCTTGCCTTATGTGCATCACAATGAAGTACTTCCCCTTACTTGCACCACCCGTATAAGTACCCCCTTATCTCGCCGCATGCACATCAACATACATGCCACCCATATGTCACCGCATGCGCATCTTAATCACAATACAACAACTAATCGCTCACCACGTGCCCATATGCCATAACATTGCTCAAACAATAATATCAATGCAACAACAATACATAGCCCACGCTCAACAACAATGAGTACAAAAATAACAATAACACAAGAGTACGGGAAGTAAATCAACAATGAATGAGCTTTATATAACAATAGCTTCAATTCAAGGTTTTTAATAACCTAAGGGTCTAATCCGATCAATTACCACACATAAAGCCCGTGCACATACTCGTCACCTCGTGTACACGTCTTTTTACATAGTAAGTAGTGCAAGTTGACCAAATCCAATGGGGTAATTCTCCCACACAAAGTTAGATAAGATCATACTTACCTCAAAGAAGCTAAATCAATACTCTAAGAAGTCGTTCCCGCGTGAAACAACCTTCAGACGGCTCGATTCTAGCCAAAATAACTTAATATTATAAATAAAAGCCATAGAAAACGATTCTGAATAATAAAGTTTCGATTTTTAACTAAAATTAAAAAGTCAACTCAAAAAGTCAACCCTGGACTTGTACCCCGAAATCCGACAAATATTACAAATTCCGAACACTCATTCCGATACGAGCACAACCATACTAATATCATCCAATTCCGACCTCAAATCGACTTCAAATCATTAATATATGATTTAGAAAAGTTTTTACTAAAATCCTCAATTTCTTCACCTCAATTCAATTTCTTCAACTCAATTCAATTTCTCCCGGACACAAACCATATATGCATTTCAATTATAAAATACGCAACGAACCTGCTCGCGCACTCAAAACACCGTAAAGAGCTCATCTTGACCCGATATTGACCATGGTCAAACTCCAAATCCTTAACTTAACTAGTTTCTCAACCAATGATCCAAAATACACTCGAGCCCCTCGGGACCACATCCAATTATACCAACAAGTAAAAATACATTATCCAAACTTATCCAAAGCCTCAAAACACCCAGAAAACATCACAACAAAGAATCAAGGCTCAAACCGAATAGAATTTCTCTTAAGTTGTTAAATCTTCATTCATTCAAAAGAGTGTCTGAATTACACTTAAACACTTCAGATTACTTCCAAACTTTGCACACAAGTTCAATTCAACGATATAGACCTATCTAAAGTCTCGGAATATCAATTGGAGTCCAATAACATCAAAGTCACCACAAGTTATATAAGCCCGTCAACACAACCTAACTGAAAATTCTTTCTTCAACCTTACACTACAAGAAAAAGAGTCTTTAGCGAGGAAAAAACTGGTCATTATAAGCTAGTAACGACCGGATAAAATTCGATCGTCGCCGGTCGTTAAAAGCTTTGACGTTAAAAGTTAACGACCGGACTGTAAGTCGATCGTTAAAGAATATTTAGAGACAACATAAACTCCGGTCGTAGTATGTCTTTTTTAGCGATAGATTTTTCCTTCGCTAAATAGTCATTCTGGTCATCAAAAATATTTATGGGAGCAACAAATTCGGTCGTTACAAGTGCTTTTAATGCCCAAATTTTCCTTCGCTAATGAGAAGTTTTAATAAATATAATTATAAAGCTTTATTTTATTGAATATTATATATTTATTTCATATGCTTTCATACACACACGACACAATCAAAAATATATTAAATAATCAATATTCATATAAAACATCATCGTTAATACAAAGAACCGAAGAAACATAAACTGTCCAAATTGTATGACAACATTTTATCAACTCCAAAAAAGAGAAAAAATGCATCCAATGTACATAAGACGTAATTAAACCACCCGAACAAAATAAAAGAATTCTTGTATTTCAACTTTTTGCTCTGCACTTTCTTCAAGAATTGATATTCGGGCTTCAAATTCTTGATCTGCTAGAAGAACAAGATTATGTCAGTGTAGTAACAAAGAATAAGCTATTAAAAAAGAAATAGGAGAAATCAATATATTTTAGTGCTCAATCATCACACGAAGGATACAAACACTGAAGTACCTAAAACAACATGTGAACAATAACTAGTGATTGAACTAGCAAAGTGCATTCGGGAATCAAAAAGTTTTAAATCATATTTTCCTTGCCAATGTTGTCAGAGTTGTTCAGTGGTATCTAAATCATCCTTTACAGTCACATTGGTTAGTACGAGCAAACTACTTTTCATCCCCTTTCTTGACGAGCTGAGTTGTCTCTCATGTTTATAAGAGGATCTAGAGTTTTAAGTATGTGGTTGCTTAGTACCATTGCACCATTACTCCTTTGTCAAAATGAGTATGAAATTAGTATTATAATATCTTTTCCTAAAAATTGTTTGAGTTTAGCTGAAGTAATGGTGCGGAGGCACCCACAGATAATATAATCTGCCCCTACTCATGGCTATAGAGTTGACTTGCGACATGACTATATCCAGTCTAGTATCAAACATTAGAAGCAGCATCTAGTTCATTTTTAATTTAAGCACTGCATAATAACAATAACAGGCAAATCCATGGCTGAGAAATTGAATCGACTAACTAGAACACTTACAATTTGTAGACGATTCAATCCATCAAAATCTAGTTTCTAACTCCCAAAGACTTGCAACACCTCTTCTCTGGCCTGTGCTTGTCAATCCTGATGCCTGCTATTCAATTTCTTTAAAATTTGATTCCAGCAATATACCAAGCAGATCCTCAATATTCACCTCTCGTGCTTTCATTGTCTTTACTCTTTATCAATAATACCTCTAATAGAGGCTTGAACATACTTTTCAATTTCCTTCATTCTTCTGTTCCTCTTTATTGGCAAAAACCTATCAAAACAGTTTAATAAGCAAGAAATCAGAAAAGGGAAAGATATATGCATCAACAAATTATCAAACACGAGGGCAAGAGTTAATCATGTTGCACTGCCAAGTGAAATTTGTAAAGGAGTACTATGGTGATAATTAGGGCAAATCACCTCCAACCTGGAATATAAACAGAGTGTATAGCTTCCATAAGATATTGAGCTTCTTTCTTTTGAAGTTCAAATATCCTTCTACCTTCTTCATAGCTACTACCGAAGGCTGTCCGAGAGATCACATCACTACTTAATTGTTGAAGGCCATGCCATATATCTATCTCATGTGATCCCTCAACTGCAACAATGTCTTCCCATTTGCTCAGTATCTCAGTACAGCTCTAACCAAAAGCTGTAAGCATATGCTGTTTAAGAAATAGTTAAGAGAAAGCTAATGAAGGGACACTTATTCAAAATGTTCCGACTTTGTAATTAGGAATACAAAATGGTTCCAAACAAGTAATTCAAAAAAGAGTCACAATGAAGAGGAAGTTTCCGTTTCGATGAAAGAAAAGATAAAAATGGACTACTTAAGGAGAATTCATTACAGCTACAAACCTTTAGCTTCTCCAGGTGGAAGGCAGGAGTGATGATTTTTCTATGTTTTGCCCATTTGCCTTCCTTTTCGCTTACAAGTATTTGTGCCAATAACTTGGTTACTGGATTTGAATGAGTCTTTTGATACCGATAGTTATTGAAGAATACTTCCTTTATAAGCTTGGGGTCCATGATAAACACCAGCAGTTTTGGACCAAACTATACAAAGGATTTTTTCCCTGCAAGCAGAGGTTTCCCTATTAACTACTCCAAATGCAAGATGAATATCTTATCTATCCACCATAAAAAATGAAAGTAATATGGGCTTTTGAAAGATGAACGGAGCAGGAAGGAAGAAGGTACCAAGCAACTTCTTCAAATCCCGTGTTCCAAAACAAACAGAAACTATTTGATAATCTAGAAAAAATGGGATAAATGTTCTTTTTTTAATAGAACTGATATCTCTTTTCAATCCGATAATACATATTTCTTGAAAATATAGAGCATAAAACCTCAACAAAACTTTCAATTTCAGATAAAGCTAACTTTTGATTTCTGCAACACTTTACTCGTATATGGCATGTATTTGAACTACGTAGCCTTTTTGATCAAGATGCAACAATGTAAATAAAAGATACAAAAAGCACAATAATTTATAACGAAAAGATCTTGGCTTTTTCAGGTCCATATATTTTCATTCGAATAATAGGAGAGTATGCAGAATTTAAAACTAAATTCAGACTCATGACAGTTATTTCACATGGATAATATATATATAAAGCAAGGATCTTTGGAGAAATTTAAAAAAATCCCAAGCTTGAGGCAAGGTTGAAACAATATAATCCATCATTATAGGAGCAAACACTGAAAGAATTAAACCATTCACTTAAAAGGCAGACAACGCAAGACTGAAAGAATGTTTATAAGTTTAAACATATAAAAGTGTTTCCCTTTCATGAGTTACTAAGAATTTGTTTGATTTGTTTACTTGTTGATAATATAGATGGCTCATAGAGCAGAAAACAAATGCACATTTATATTTAGTCCTAAAATTACATAAGAAATGCTGCTCTGTTCAACTTTAACTTTTCCATATATAGATAAAGGAATGATCAATCTAGGGGGAAAGTGAACCTATATCATATAATCATTTCCACAAGTACTGGACAACAATTCTCTAAAGAAGATTGTGAAAAATTAAAAACTGTACAAAAAACCATCACAAGATTTGTTCCAACAAGTTGTGAACTGAAAACATAATAATTCAGTGAAGCGAAAATTCAAACACCAAATATATGTCTAAAACTCAATAGAATATACCTTTATATGGTAGCGCAAATCACTGTTAAGCTTCCATCATCAAAACCACTATCGAATTTTTACACATTGAGCTTTATCCTTTTAGGGCCCTAAATTATTTAGAACCCAACTGGAGAACGACTGAATCTTTTACTCGACATAAAGGAAAACAGAAGTCACGCCATGAAGAAGGAGAAAGCAAGATAAGAATACAAATGTAAAGCAGTAGAATAGATAGACATGACGATATGGTGATTACACATTGAAACTGTCCTTTATGAAAATTCTTGTTTCTTAAGCCCAGATTAAAATAATTAGAACATTATTGAGCACAAATAAAGATAATTGAAATCGATCATACAGAAAATTGTTGATTCTTAACCGGCCATGCCACAAATTCTTGAACAACAATATCACCAAAGTGAACACCAAATCACAACCCTATTAATTTGAACCAAAAATAATATATAAAAAGAGTAAATTTTCAAATCTTACCTTGATGAGAAGAAACTCTAAGATGAATAGTTGATACCTACGGAGGTGACTAACAATTTTCTCTTCTCCCATAAATTTAATCTTGATAGCAGTTTTAGGTTTTCGTCGAGCAGTAGGCTAAGAGTATTTTTGGAGGGCAAGTGGGGTGGGTGTAGGGTTAGTTTGGGGGAAAAAGAGGGAAACCATAGCGCCTTTTTTTACTGATTAATTATATTTTTTAACGACGGGATATTATGCTTTTTAAGGATCAAACATTATTCCTTTGTTAATGCCAAGCTAAAAATTGGCTTTAACGACCGGAAAAAAAGTTGTTCGCCAAGCGTTCATTTATAACGACCGGATCCATATCCATTCGTTAAAAAATGATCGTTAAAAAGTATATTTCTTGTAGTGTTAATACATCAACTATAGACCCAAATTCCAACATTCGAAATTTCTGATACGATCCGATTCTTGCATATACATATTATATCAATCTCAACAAGCTGTAGAAAATTATAAATATATTTGTCACGATCCAAAATCCACTATAGATCGTGATGGCGCCTAACGCCGCCGTCAGGCAAGTCAACGGTGATTAATCAACTTAGTTATTTATTTTATTATTTTCGAAATCATGAATCCCATTAAATAAGTAGAGTAAAATTTGGTACTCGTAAAAAATCCGTGATTTTATTTTCTAATTTCCGTATAAAATATAAATTACAAGGTGAAATGATAATAATTACGTGAACTGCAATAATGAACATCCAGTAGGAATCCCCAAAATCCGGTGTCACAAGTGCAGGAGCATCTACTAAGGAGTACAATAATACTACAATATCTGTATGGAATACAAGTTAGACAGGAGAACATAAATAACTTTGATGGAGACTCTGTATGCTATGGATTGTAACATGGAATGCAACTCACCGTAAAGTCCCCGCAACAGCCGCGCCTTTAC